CTAATGTAAGACAAAACCCAATAAACCTCCTAGAAGAAAATAGGCAAAACATTCTCTGACATAAATCTCAGCAATGTTCTCCTAGGGCCGTCTCCTCAGGCAATAGAAATAAAAGCAAAAATTAACAAATGGGTCCTAATTAAACTTACAAGCTTTTGCACAGCAAAGGAAACCACAGGAAAAAACAACAACCTACAGAATGGGATAAAATATTTGCAAATGATACGACTGACAAAGGCTTAATTTCCAGAATATATAAACAGCTCATACAACTTAATGACAAAAACAAACAACCCAATCCAAAAATGAGCAGACCTAAACAAGCAATTCTCCAGTGAAGACATACAAATGGCCAATAAGCACATGAAAAAATGTTCAATGTCACTATCAGAGAAATGCAAATCAAAATGACAGTGAGGTATCAACTCACACCACTCAGAATGGCTATCATTCAAAAGTCCACAAACAATAAATGCTGGAGAGGCTGTGGAGAAAAGGGACCCCTCCTACACTGTTGGTGGTAATGTAGTTTGGTATAGCCATTATTGAAAACAGTATGGAAATTCCTCAAAAAATGAAAAATAGACTTACCTTATGATCCAGCAACTCCACTCCTGGGCATATATACGTAGGGAACTCTAATTTGAAAAGATATATGCACCCCAATGTTCATAGCAGCACTATATACAATAGCCAAGACATGGAAGCAACCTAAATGTCCACTGACAGATGACTGGGTAAAGAAGATGTGGTATATTTATATAATGGAATAGTACTCAGCCATAAAAAAGAATAAAATATGCCATTTGCAGCAACATAGTTGGACCTGGAGGTTGTCATTCTAAGTGAAGTAAGCCAGAAAGAGAAAAATACCATATGAAATCACTTATATATGGAATCTTTAAAAATAAATAAATGAACATACTTACAGAATAGAAACAGACCCACAGACACAGTAAATAATCTTATGGTTACCATGGTGAAAGAGGGTAGGAAGGGATAATTTGGGAGTTCGAGATTTGTAAATATTAACTAGTATATATAAAATAGATAAGCAACAAGTTTCTTCTGTACAGCACAAGGAACTATAGTCAATATCATGTAGTAACCTATAATGAAAAAGAATATATGTATGTATATATATGACTGAAACATTATGCTGTACACCAGAAATTGACACAACATTGTAAACTGTCTACACTTCAATTAAAAAAGAAAAATCCTCGGCTCATGCTCTGATCCCTGTTCCCTGACATCGCCTCCATTTAACCCCACTAACATGCTTCTCATCCCATCCCATCCTGGTTCTCTCTTCTGAAATCTCCCATTCACCACACTTTTGTTTTTCTCATTACGTAGTTGAACGTGTTGCTCGAGGCACTGCCTAGAAAGCACAAAAAGGAAGGCCATTATTTATAACTAAATGGGAAGGACCCCCCCCCCGTATGTAATCTTCTCACTATGCTGCTCTAACAGACACCCCTTTTCAGGCAACACTTGGCATCCTCTTGGCCTCCTTTCCTCTTAACCCAGATGGCGCTGTGGTGCCTACCTTGCTAGGGCTGTGACCAGTGTCACTCCAGGGCAACCAAAGAGCTGGACTGCAGGCCTCACCGACAGCTCTTGACTGTCGTGCCAGGAGGGCTTTCTTTGTGGACGTCGCTAGGGGACCCAGTCAGCTCACCTGTGTGCCTGCCTCATGGGGCGA